ACACACACACACACACACACACACACACACACACACACACACACACAGAAACAGAAACGGTGTGTAGAAGAAGAAAAAAAAAACGACCACTAGAGGGAAAAAAAAAGAGCACGAAGACCAACGGCATAAACTATACATTCGTAACTAGCAAATGGAAAATCGTTAAATCGCCCGAATGCCCCACCGCAACGGCTTTAATTCCACAAGCTAAAGCATTTACTTTCGTCCGGTCATTCGGTTTTCATTTGTGTAGTTTGCTTAAAATGTGTGGAAGAAAGCATTTTCTTTTCGCCTCCACTTTTTCTTCGTCCTTTGGCATAAATGCAAAGTCGCTAGCTATTTGCACATTTACAACTTTTCTCAACTAAATGAAATGCAACTTTTCACTGACTTTTCGCACATGGTTTACACTTGAATACACCAAACCCCGCATATATATGCATTTTTTTCTCGGAAAATTCGATTGCTCTGGTTTAACATTCAATGATTTCGTAAACTTATTTTTTTACCATCAAAGATATGTACTTTTCAATTTTTTCGTTTCATCTGCATTCAAAGCGTTTTCACCGTATATCTTTGTTGTTTTTGTTCGTTTAACGATTTTCATCGGCTGGTTCAAACTTTTTGGACACTCAGCTGGGTTCCAAAAAAATATTGCTTTTAAACTCGTCACTATTGCCAATGTATGTGGATCTGGTTTTTTTTTTATCTCACAAATTGATTTTCAACTGATGTTTCATTTCTTTCAATTTCTTTTTTGTTGTTGTTAATTTTTGTCGTTTTCACTTATTCATTGGCATACTCTCTAGTTTTGATTACATCCGAAACTTTCGAAATAAAAAGAGTACGAATCAATCGAATTTGGAGTTCAAAAGTGGGCTAAAATAACATTTGAAAATTTAAAGTGCATTCTTGAAGAAGTTAGTGAATTTGAACAACACAATGCAATGGACAATATACACACTGTGAGTGAATACGAACGCACGAAACTCACAACGATACCGATTATTCTCAGACAACGTTCTAACTAGTACTGTGTTGTGCCATTGCTGCACCCTTAACATCAACCAAAGCTCGTTCCCATCGACACTGGATTCGGCCTTCCAGCCGAACAGTGTTTCAAACACTGGAAAGTGATAACATGACCATGCATTGTCGAAAAGTATATGGTGAACCGAAGGCGATTACATTTGAAAATTGAACATACATGTAATGAAGGTATAGACTAAGTGGTGAGAGTGATCACTGACGAATTAATCTATTAACTTGCTGCGAATTTCGATTGATTTGGGTCTCGGAAAATCAACGGATCTATTATTTAAAGCACGAAAACTGGAAAACGGTGAAAGTAAAAGAGGGAATGTTGTGACAACTTTTGCACCGGCGCATTCGAAATCATAAAAGCATTTTGGATTGAAATGTGGATAGCGCTTGGCTGTAAAGCCATTCGCATGAGTTAGAAAGGGACGATTGTATAGAACCAATTTATACACACAGGGTGTTACACTATTAATGCAAGTAAACATTCGAATGAGACTCGGTTTTCGTTTTTTTTAATCATTTCAACATTCTGTTGAGTCATGTGCCGAAGCAAATTGAATGCGGCCGCACAAAAAAGGCACTTTAAGTTGTGGATAACTTTTTGGCAATAGCGAGAGAGAGGACATTTCTTTTCTCTTTAATTACAGGACAAAAAGTTTTCCATAAAACAATTTTTTCAGTATGAAAAATTGTGTGAATATCCTTATAATCTGTTCGCAAGTTTGATTTTTTTATTTCTGACGAAAGTTGGAGCTGTCTTCATTCCATTTTTCGCTCGCATTCTTGGAAAGTGTTGAAATGTTTTCCTGTCCGAAGAGAGAGAGAGAGAGAGAGAGAGAGAGAGACAGACAGAGAGAGAGAGAGAGAGAGAGAGAGAGAAAACCGCAGCAAAACCAAGTTTCGCATAATGTTATTTCAAAGTCTAAGCGGGAAAATTGCTCCTTTGTATTTCACAGGTGGAAGTGTTAAATCTGTTTGGAATGAAAGACGAACTCATCATTTGAAAGCTCTTTTCGTGAAATGAAATCACTTTGCTCCCACAGACTCGCCGTAACCGAGACCGTATAGTTGATATTTTTTGCATGTGAACAACGAGAGAGATAAAAAAAAAGAATGATAATCTCATCTTGTATCCGACATTCTGGTATTAAAAATGCCACTGTTGCGCACCAATGGGAAATGCAATTTCAGTTTAACATTGTGGCATATGTTGCCCTTCATTCAGAATAAAATGCTCCGCATATATTCAAAAGTGTCTTCCATTTTCGCAGCAACAATGTTTTGAATATTCCTGTGCAACACCCGTGTTAGACTCCACTTCCCTCTCTCTCTTTTTTTTCGATTCAATTGTCGACAAAACAAGGAAAAATCCGCTTAATTCTGACACATATTTTCCCGTTCATGATAAATGAACGCGTGAGCATAAAAACGACTTATTAAACAATCGCCGAACAAAACGATACAAGAAAAAACTACCAAACAAAACACACGTTAAAAACGTAACACAGCAGGACTGTACCGTTCAAAACGAAACTCCGCTGTGCTACACATTACCGCTGTGGTACGTTTTGTTCGGTAGTTTTTTCTTGTATCGTTTTGTTCGGCGATTGTTTAATAAGTCGTTTTTATGCTCACGGGTTCAAATGTGATGATTATGACATCGGCAAAACAATAAAAGAAAAAAACCTAACACTAAAGAGGTAACGTGTGTGAAGAAATGGTAGACGAAAGTTGAAAGGGATAAATCGCATGCAGATACGAAAAAAACAGAAGGAAAATTGACGGTATGCAAAGAACAAAAGGATTGGGTAACAAGGCAAAAAATAGGAATTACTGAGAAACTCGTACAAAAGTCATCATAATGTAGCGCACATAACGTAATCCACAATGTTGGATACTTTGACCCAAATGTCGAACGATATCAAAATTTAGTGCATGCCCAAGAACGGAGAACGACGAACAAGTGGCAGTTCTACTTTGAATTTGCCTCGTTAAGAGGCAAAATGGTCATACATCAACTCTCAAAATTCATTTCGCCCAGAAAGATCATTTCAAATGCATGACATTGTTTCATCAGTTGCATCGACTTGTGCTCGTTGCTCGCCTGCAACAATTTTAACATACCGTTTTGTGAGTAGTTTTTGGCTGGTTGCTTGGCTAGAACAATGATTAAACGCTGTTATTCCGATAATAATGCACATTCGTACGTGCTTCCGTCCTGCCTGCACTCATTCTTCCAACCGTTCGCATTAGCACACAGTACTTCTGCACACAAACTCTCACAGTGAAGTCACTATTGTAGCTCTTCTATCCATCTTAGTGTGTCGTTAGCTGGTTGGCATGCATTTGACGTCGACCCAAGAGGTGAGCAACCTTCGATAGATAATTTCACTCCAACTCTCTCGTGACGGTTATTTTTATTACGGTCTAAAAATAGAATTTCCATTTTTTTTCCGCTGCCATAGTATGGTTCTCATAAGCCAATCGGTTTTATTCGCCTGGAACGATGACGCATTTCCAATCATTGTATTTTAAATGATTCAACGCGCTAAAACCACAATGAACCCTATGCTGGTGCTCTTGATGGTGAGTTAGCGCATGGAAATCAATTTTATGGCCCATGGTAGAGTGTACTCTTCAAATTCCACAGTGCATTCATTTGTGCATTAAGTACCGTAAATTGATGTAGGCAAATGTCGAATCAATTATCGCATCACCGACCGCACGCTTTTTCCGCGCCAATGTGTTAATTATGCGAAAAGTCCCGTTGGTGTTATTTACACATTGAATTCCCAATCAGAGCTTGATTGATTAGATCAAAATCAGAAATTAGCCAATTTTACGCAATCGACATGCTGAATATATATGTATATCTAATAATAATATCTCTGTTAACTGTTCATATGACCTATGTGGAAAAATTGTGAATGCACTAGGTTTGGGAATGTGCATTTTACTCCAATGGCATAATGCCGACTCTATCGCAGTTCAATCTTGACTTGATATGCTTTTGTTCCGGTCGCTCCGGGTTTTTCCGCAATAAAATACAATGCACCACATAAATTTCAAAGGGAATCCATTGAGAATGAAAATGACAAAATGGAAAACATTGAGAAGCTACTCATTTCACTACATTCAGTATCTATTAGCAAATGGGTCAAATGGGTTATGGTGTTCTCAATGCATTTCCATTATCTACGCTCATTTCAACTTTGCCATTGCAACCCGCTTAACCAGTCCATCTTGTCCGAATTATTCATTTCCACTGCTCGAATCTACTTTGTAATAAAGTACATTATTTATTTGTTTTATAAGCTTGTGTTTGTTACTTCTTTTATGTTTGGCATTTTCAGACCGAAATCCGTTCGCAAAAAGAAGGAGCCAACATCAACATGCAACAATAATTTCACACATGCATCTGCTGCTGCATTCTAGTTTGAATGCCATAAATTCTGGTGGGAATATGTTTTCGAGATGGTGAAATGGATGTTTGGAATGGTTTCAAATGCTGCAAATGAATTTCTCTTTGTTATATTGGTAAGTGCAACTAATAAATTGCAAAGGTTTGCAAAAATTAGCTGAGCTTCGTTCAAATTTTAATTAGAATAAATGAGTCGAGGCGAATTGTTCGGTTGGTTCAAGTCAGATAGAAATCAGTGTGCAAATATTATGCGATATTTCTTATCTACGTTCCACTTCGTTCACCTTTTCCAATAAATCGCCCACTTAAATTACATGCACCACTCCAAATCACCGAAGATGAATACATTCCGAGTGCGTTGCGTGATGACTCTCTCTCTCTCATTGCATATGCATTTTTCATGACGATACACTCTATAGCTTTATTGCGCAGTTGGTTCAATTCAATTGCACCAACGCATTCAGCAATATCTACTTGTCGGTTTGGTTTTCTTTGCGCATTTGTATCCACATTTAATGCGTTTGTTGCTCTATTCGAAATCATTTGAGTGTCTTCAGTATGTTTAAAAGTACATAACAGATTTGCAATAGTGTAAGGTCAAAAACACTCAAAGCGCATCAACACGACGACAACTTTACATTTTTGTTTTTACATGAAATGAAATTGCATTCACCGAGTCCGATAGAAGTGCTGTCGCTGAAAGCGTTCCAGATTGAATTGAACACACAAAATTATATTAAGAAGATTGCAGTTAGGGTAGGAACTGGTTCGTAGGAAGCAGTTGGACTGACAAAATTGCTCATATGAATAGCATTCAACAAATGACGCGACATTAACACGAAATTGAATTCAGGAGATGCATTTTCGTGGTTAAAGGCCACATGACGATCAATTTAACACATTTTTTTCATTTTTTCCATTCTATTTGTTGTTGTCGTTGCTCGCAAGTGACAAATAAATGATGATGAAAAACTTCGTGGTATGCAACGAAAAAAAAGAGCGGCTGAAATATTCAAAGGAAATAATGCAAAACATCAACGACGAACATCTAGCTACTACGGTGCAATGTGTATAAAAAGCCACTCAATATAAACACACTACAACACAAAGCAGCAGCAGCAGCAGCGGCAACAACAATAACAACGATACAAAATAAACGCTCGAATGTGGTGTTGCTAGACTTGAAAATCCAAGAATAAACAAAGCAACGAAACATGCAAAAATGCTAAAACCGCGCCAGATATCACTCTGTATGTGTTATATTTTGCCTCTGTTTTTGACTGAACATTGTAATCTGTACATTTAATTCCGTCGACGTACATAAACATTTGCCGCTATACGCCGATACATTGAATTCATAAAACATATTTTATATAGACTGCGCCATGAATGTGTGCTGTTTTATTATATAAAAAGCCGTCTCGTATATCGTATACATTGCCTATTTCAAGCGATATCTGTTGTCTGAGTTGCGTTGCGTTGTGTGTGCAGCACTCCAAGTGAGAGTAGAACGGGTATCGTTGATCAACGACGAACATTACATGCGGCTGCCTATCGACACAAAAAATCTCTCTTTTGTTTTCATTATGTCTCATTCGTTTCGTTCGTTTCGTTCGTACGCAGCATTTGTTGCGTTATTTGTTGAAGTGAAGAAAGAAAAAAAAAATGTCAGCAATACATTGATTGTATAGTATATAGAAATGGTGATTCGAGTTGAGCACCAGAAGTATTGGACTATACAGTTGAAATCGAAGTGCCGGCAAGGTTGGAACGGAACGCTTGAGTCGTCAGTATAAATAAACATACTTACAACTTGGTTGAACAAGCAGAGTCAAAGAGAACGAAAAGCAAACCCACAGCCACCAATCAACACAGTAAAGTGATTTTTGTCTTCTTTTTACTCGTTGAACTTTAAACAAGAATTGTGTTTGATGGAATTTAATTCTCGGTTTTGTTTTTGTTTGCGTTACGGGTAATTTCTGTACAAATCGATTGGAATAATCCAAAAAGTCGCGTTTGAATTTAATGTGCCAATCGTATTTTGATTTCAATCGGTGTAAATTCAACGAGTTTAATTTGTTGTGTTAAGCCAAAGTCCATAACATTACAATTGGCTAATGACAATGCCCTGTCAATCAGCGAACAACCTTTGAACTCAACCCACAAAATTGCATTAGTCTGTCTCTGAAGTTCGAACCAGTTCGGAAATCTATAAATATTCCTTACATGTCAATTGTTGTAACACATAGTACAGTTGCGACGCAGTTTTGTGGTTTTTCAAACAAACGAAATGCATAAAATGCGACGCACACGCAATTTCACTTTTGCTTTCATTCTGTTTTGGACGAAGCGACGCTATATTTGAGCGTCTGTAGTGACTCCGTAGTCTACAAAACCAGCTGTGTTTTGTAAACACATAGACGCGACAAGCGAAAAATTAACACAAATTTTGAGGGGCTTGAGCAAATACGTCATTCAAACGCATCGAAAAAATACACTCCATCACAAGCGATTCAACAATATGCTCATGTTTCAAAGTGCCTGGAGCCAAATAACATATATGTGTTTTTTTTGTTCATTTGCTTACAAGGTCAAAACGATTCGCACAAAATTCCAACAATTGGTTCGTCAATTCCGTCGGTTTTCTGCGTTTGGTCATAAACAAGTCATTTTGAATTCCAATTTAAATCGAAAGCATAACTTGTTGTTTACTACCAAAACCGGTTATACATAAAAAAAAAATATTTGTATTCCACAGAGCGCAATCGACAGTCGTCAGTTCTTCGGTGTGAAGTTTTGATCAAGAAATCAACGAATATTACAAGTATACAGACGAGCGGCAGAACAACGATAGAAAAATAATCGTCACCTTTTAGCAGAGTAAAAATAAAACAGCAAACTCATGATTATATCGCAGTAAAATCAATTGTTTTCGATAGCTACAGCAATAACATACTTGAAAGCAGAAAAAAAAACATTCAAAAGAACGACAACCAATCTAGGGCTTATAAAGTAAACAAGTACAAAATGTTGTCAAAGTTAGTCGCAAACCGAGCTCTGGCGAACGGTTTACGTTCGCAAAGTGTACAACGTTTTTTTGCAGTAAATCAGTTGAATGAAAATCGCTATGTGAGTACAGCACAATTTCAACCAAACAATCCGTTGATGGATTCCTATCAGTCGTACTTCACACACAACCCGGTGGAAGGGTTCATTCGAAACAGCCCATATGACGTTGTCACCACACCAGATTTGGCATTAGATCAGTACGTTTGGCAAAACGTTTCGAAATGGTCGGATCATGTCGCAACTGTAAGTAGAAGATTAAATGTTATCAAGTGTTATGTAATTAATTTAGCAACGTTTTATCTTCAGCTTCGGTTACTGTTGCCGGTACACCGTAAAAATATGTAAACACAAAGAAAAATAACCGAATTTCATTTCACTGCAGATGAAATTGTTTACACAGACCCAGTTCACGTGCAGCATTGTTCTACATAAATGTAATAAAACTTTGCTTGACGAACTCAATCACGAGTAAAAGTATAACAGACCCAGTCCAAATAATAAGATTGTCGTTATCATCAATTGACATTTTTTTCCATTATTTACGTTTCCCTGAGAATAAATTATACTGTTTGCCTCTCGTGTTTGTCTCACATAGAAACTCGTTCCGAAACGATCTAATGGCTTCAATCCTTTCGTGCCGTATTTTTCCACGATTCTAAAATGCAAATGTGCATGTATCAATCAGTTGAGAAAAAAAAACATATGAAATAAACATATATATTCCACTGAGGTCGGCAAAAACGTGCCCAACTATTTTTGGAATGCTGTGAATATTTCCACAGTCCGATTGCATGTCGATTCCACATTAAAGCAATGATTGAACAAATTACAACAATTAAAAATTACTTTCAGTTGAGCAAATCCTGTTAATAGGCTAAAACTGATTATTTCACCTGCAACACTGATATAATGCAATCGATATAATGCTCACACAAATTCGGAATAGTTTGAAAACTAATTATCCATCGAAATGTTTGCGTTAATAAGCGTCTGAAAGTAGTTAAACATCGGCATCATTTGAAACTTAAATTCCGCATCTATTAAGCCGCTTCAAGCGCACCGGCAATATTCAAATAATTTATGTGGATTGGATTAAGTGTGATTTCAATAGGTGACTCGATGAACATGTTACAATCATGATAAAACGTTCATGTTTCACATGTTTTCTAAAGTCAACCGACTCAGTCGTTAACACGCCCAAAAACTTATAGATTAACTCGATCTGGAGTTGTAGTGCTAGGAGATAGCGTGACAGAGAAATGAGCGCACTGTAGCACGTGTGTGTAAGGAACGTTGTTATTAATCAAATCAAAACCACTTCTCTAAGCCAATATTGTTCTACGCTCAAACATCTGTTATTCGGTGAATATAGTTGATAATAGGACACAGTTGTGTAATTTCATCGATGATTGGGTGTACAGTACACATTAGACGAATAGTTTTGCTCCAAAATACCGCCGTTCATCAGTTTCATGATAACTGCCTGCCGTACTGTATCCAAAATTCAACTATCAACAAACATTTGGTCACACAGTTAAAAATTAAAACAAAATCATTGTGAGATCATTGGCTATGTATATCGTGTACAATGTACATACAGAGCATGCTTCCAAAGTCCATAGCCTACAAACCGAAATATAAAATTCAAGGTCTTCTTCATTTATGTTCACTATCACAGCATATAGGAACAATTTGGTTTTTTGTCATATATGTTCATCGGAGTCAATCAAAAACCAGTTTGAAAAATAAAAAACGATGACGTCTGCGCTTGGATGATCTCTAGTGCATGACGTGCAGCACGTATACTTTGACAATTTACATAAGTCTAACGAAAACAAAGGCCACAAAATACAAAGCAAATCTGTAGATAAATGACATTTTACGTGCAAATCAAAATCGCTTCTATTTTTGTTTTAGCAAAATGAGGTGTTTAATCGCAATACAGTGTATTGAACGTGCATTGAAAACAAAAATACGCAATTTTAATCACAACAAAACCCAAACATTGATTATTTCTGTTATTTCTTTTTTTTATTCGCTTGTTTTGTTGCAACAATCCAGGCCATTTAACAATGATAGCGGTTTTTTTTTCAAAATCATAAATAGTAGGTATCATTTTTATTGCTCACTTCGCTCAGCACTTCACATTTCTTAGCACAAGCAGATTATGTCTACAGCGATTGGCTTTTTACAACAAAACAGATCAAATTTCCCAGTGTGTCCCGCCATTTCTAGTGTGCATTTGATAATCAATATTCAAATATACAAACATACAAACAAATGGAATTTGAACTCCAATAATTACATTATTTTCCAGAGAATATTAGTATTTATAATCGCATTTCATTTGAAGCACCACAGGTTTCACTTTGTTTTCGAGTCAAACAGTTCAAGCTAGTTAACGACAATTCTTTTCTGTCATGAAATACAGAATAATTAAAAGATCTTTCAAAAAAAAAAACGCTCACAACGAATGATTACAATAACAATAAGCATATCTAATTATACTCATAATTATGAGTAATAAGCAATGAAGCAGCAGCACTTATTTTAAGCGAAACCGCGAATGAATTAATAAGTTTTGCCCCACCTTATACTTTTTTTGTGATATCAAGTGACAAACAAATCTGAAATTGCTTATACAAGGGACGACCGTCTTTAGATGGTTCACAAAGTTTAGAATATTTTTTTGTAATTCATAATCGCCGTGTTTTTTCTAATAATGTAACAGGAAAATGATGTTTAGATAACAACATTTAGGGAAACAAATATATCAGTTAAAAAATATTATCTTGGGCATGTTGATAGCGACAAAAACGACATTTCTCGTGAAAAATTTCTCCGCGAATCGTTTTATTACACATCATTCGGTACACATGCTCTTGCACTGTGAAGTGTTTTGACATTGAAATACTTAAAGTACATGATATGCTATCGGGTGGTCCGTATTAAATGTTTACAACTGAATCATACGATTTATTCTGATCAATGCTCTGTTTCCATTTCAGGTGTGTGGAATAACCGGACGCTCGTACACCTACTCTCGTCTGCGCGATCACTCGGCGGCGTTTGCCGTCAATTTGAGTTCCAAACTGAATTTGCAAATCGGTGATGTGATTGCGGTGTGTCTACCAAATATGCCGGAGTTTCCGATTGCTGCTTTGGGTGCCATTGAAGCTGGTTTGGTTTTAACAACGATAAATCCAACTTACACTGCCGGTAAGCTATGTGACTTTATCACCGAATCAATTTCAAGTACACAATTTAACGCATTCGGAAAGAAGATGAATGAAGAAAAAAACTCAATCGGATTTCGAGCTGAAAAAATTCAACTGAACATTCGGCTGGTGTGTTGATTGCCAGCGAATAACAGATTCACACACAATTTTCCATTAATTTTCCCAATGAGTGATTCGCAATGCCAAAATGGTTTTCCGTTCAATTTTGGGCTGTCACCAATGATTGAGTTGAAATCGTATGCATACGCAGAGAGAGAGAGAGGCGCGCGACACGGCTATGCTATCTAATTGGATTTTGAAACGCATATATCAACCATTCAATGAATCCAGGGACAGGGAGTGAGAAAGAGAAGAAAAATTGTGTTGACTTGTTGAAGCGATTGAAATGTGTTGTGGAAAGCAAAACCAACAGATACTGACAGGTCAGGCCAATCGAAAAAAGAGAGAAAATAATCAACAACAAAAACATGTTCAATTTGTCAATCCGACACGAAAACGGAAAAAAATGCAATTCAAACACGATTCAACGAATGAACGTGTTTTTTCACTGTTCAATTCGAAAATAATGGTAATTGTTGTTGAAATAATCACGTGGTTGAGGTAAATCCAAATTCTTGATGCATTAAATCCAGCAGATGATGTGTTTTAGATTGAAATGTTTACATAGTCGTGTTAAAATATTGACTCATGACATGTACTAGTCTTCAAAACGTTATTTCCATCGATCCAATTGGTTGAGTGAAATAAAAACCAACAAGTTTGCATGTTCAATACATGCATTGTCATTTTCCATTAGAATTCGGTTTACAATGGTAATCGCTTCGTTATGTGCATAAACACCGCAGGAAAAAAGCACATGTGAAGCCTATGAAATGTGAATTTAACACATGAAAATCGATAAAATCCCTGGCGTACGGGAATTTTGCTTTCGCTCCCGTAAAATAGCTGCTAACTCGATTGAACGCACTTGAATAGTTCATGAGAAATTTGTTTCCACTCGAATTATTCATGACATTTTACATTCGATGTCTACATTCAATTATTGATTAAAAATTTTGATATATTTTTTTCTCATATCGTCATCAATATAATCTTACGTTTGAATAATTTTATGGAATATTTGTGATTTTTTCTTCCACAGAGGAAATTCAACGCCAATTGGAAGCCAGCAATTCAAAGGCAATCATCGGAACGCCAAACACATTTGCGACGATTAACGAAGCCGTTAAAAATAGCAAAAAAGATATTAAAATCATCTGCATCAAGACCGAAGCAGACCAGTCATTTCCGAGCGGTGCAATCAATTTTGCTGATTTAATTGACACAAACAGTAAGAAATGAGATAATTGTGCCATTAATCAAGTTCAGCAGACCTATAAAGTATTTCTCTTTGCAGATGTTGATTTCAGCTTGTTGCGTCCACATAAGCGGCACCCGGATGACATGGCATTCCTACCATTCTCATCTGGAACCACAGGTTTGTCTAAGCTGCTACGCAAGGGCCGAAGTATAGCGAATAAAATTTCATTTGTAATTCTGTTCAGGTTTGCCGAAAGGAGTCATGCTATCGCACAATAATATTGGAGTAAATTGCGAGCAAATTGGAGTCAAAATTGGAGACTCGACCATAGTTAGACCGACAACCACTGAGTACCAAGATGTTTCGCCGTCGGTCCTACCATTCTTCCACATTTACGGCTTCACCGTTTTGATGATATCGAAACTCGCACTTGGCGCTAAAATTGTCACATTGCCTGAATTCAAGCCAAACACATTCCTTGACTCGATTAGAAATCACAAAGCGACTCTTTTGCACGTTGTGCCACCCATCTGTAAGCAGAATTAGCTTTCAATTTGTTATATTTTTAGTTCACCTTTTGTTTTTTGTTCTGATTAATTGAAATGGTTTCTCTTGAATAAATTTGTTTCAGTGATTTACTTGGGACAGCATGATGGAGTGAATCCAAAGGATTTGGAATGTGTTCGCGCTGTGATGAGCGGAGCAGGTAGAGTGATAATTTCAGCACCCTTAAATGACCGATGAAATATATTCCACCTTAAATTCATTGTAATTGATAATTTCAGCTCCATTGGGTGCACTAGATGTTGAACAGTTTTTCCAAAAGTAAGAATGAAATGACTTTTACATTTGAATGAATAAAATAAATTGATTCAATTTGATGTCTTCTAGGGCGCCGAATACAAACATTGTTCAAGGTTATGGATTAACCGAGACATCACCAGCAGCACTGTTAAATATGCCTGGCAACTCGAAATATGCTTCAGTTGGGGTTCCAGCCTCTGCCACACGCTGTAAGATTGTGGCTGTTAATGATTCTACCGGAGTTGGTTTGCAGGCGAATCAAACGGGTGAACTCTGGGTGAAAGGACCACAGAATATGATCGGGTATCTCAACAATAAGAAAGCCACCGACGAAATGCTTGTCGATGGATGGATCCGCACCGGAGACATTGCATACTATGACGACGATGGTTTCTTCTACATAACCGATCGTCTTAAAGAACTCATCAAAGTCAAAGGCTTCCAAGTAGCGCCGGCCGAGCTGGAAGAAATTCTCCGCAGCCATCCAGAAATTACAGACGCGGCCGTTGTAGGTGTTACGCATGCTAAAACTGGCGAAGCACCACGGGCATTTGTCATTAAACGACCCGATAGCAAAATTACTGAAAATGACATCCAGAAATTTATGTCACAAAAAGTAGCTGATTACAAACAACTACATGGTGGTATCCAATTCTTGGAAACAATCCCGAAAAATGCAACCGGAAAAATTATGCGACGCGAGATCAAATTGAAGTATTGCCAATGAAATTGAAAATTGTTTAATACTATCAACAGTTTATTTCCATGCTTTATTTTTACATGTATGTTAAAGTTAAAATCATTAAAAATAAGTGAATTTTTATGACTTCGGTGTGTCTTTATCAACTTAACTTTTTATGAAAATGTGATTATTAATTAAAAACAAATTGAGATGTCTTTACGAAATGAACGCATATTTTTATATGACCATTTTTACTGTTTACTAATAAATATATAGGGCGCACACACGAACACATCATCTTTAGAATTTTTTCATTACTATTTTATGCTTTAGAACTTTTCCAATTCAATTTACTTTGTTTTAAATCAGAATGGACAAATATACATTCCAAACCAAACTTTGATATCTACGTCACTCAGCTTGACATTTTTCAGACTTTCTTCCTGACAATGGCTGTGAAAATACAATTTAACGAAATCACCATAAGGGCAATGACAAAGTGATTGCTCGCTATCAACACTGAAATAAATTTTCCACAAAAACTTAACCAATAATTCAAGCAGACGTGCTGTGCATGGTTGATTAATCAAAATGGCATTTCACGTATCTTGCGTACATGTGTTTCTTGACGAAATGGTTTCGTGCAGAATGTATATTGTGCAACAACTGTCTTTGCAATTTAAATATGTTCAATTCACCGAATTTGAATTATATACTATTTTCGTTTGGTGATATTCGTTTAACTTACATATGAAAGAATACTCCATAAGTTATCTCCACTCACATCCCAAAGATGTAGCGAAACACATAGTTTGACTTGAATTGAAGCTTCAACCAGAATTTGCTTGTAAAGTGTATATTAATCGGCCACATGGAAATTCTTTGTGTTCATTCAGCATCCATTTATCAATTGACATATTTGTGCTTGGTGTATGGTGAGAAAGATGGTTACATTGTAAATCACCATACAAATCGATAAACATTCCTGGATCGAACGTTGACCAACTTATTTGAAATAGGTCATTTTGAATTTGAAATAGGTCATTTTGAATTGTTTTTACAGGTCGAAAACACATTAATTTAGAGAAAAACGATTCTTTTTGAATATTATCGTTTTTTTTTTTTCAGATTTTGACCTTCGAATCTGGAAAAAAGAAGAAATCAATAAGTCCAAATTCCACAAAACACAGCACAACAAATGATAAATAAAATGATGCCGAAAGCAAAATATCATGTTAGCGATTGTTATAAGGAACTAAAGTTAACTCCCATACTTCGTTGAAACATATCGCAACTCCATTATTATTGAAACTAAGTGATACCGGCCAAAATCAACCACGCATGTTGGAATTGTTTAGAAAACATTATGTTACCAAGAATTTCAATCACACATCTCTCACCAATAAGATGACAAACAAGGAAATATTAAGGTATGCAAAACGGCTAAACTCATTTTTTTTTCAAGGAACACTAACTTGTGGTTAATGTATATTTTTGTAGCGAATCAACTTATGTACGCATTTGCATGTATTTTACACACCCAAATCCAGCAAACACCTATAACATTTATTTTTCACATATTAGTATTAATAGCAATTTTTCAGCAAAATAAATGTCATATTTTGAGGTCATAGTTTAACGCTAAAAAAATGAATGAATGCTCCGCTTGCGTTAACCGCACTTCATGATATTCATTTCGATATGTTTCAATTCAATTATTATTGAATCAACTTCTATGGCGAATTTCTGTTGTTCGTAAATAAACATATACAACGTAGTATAATACGGCACATACAACAATGAGCCGAATACATGTAAAAATTGAGTCAAACACAACATAGATACATGCACTATGGCAGCGACACAAGTACAAGCATGAATCTTATCTTTTTCAACTTGGTGTTTTGGCCGTTCAGTCAGTCAGATACACTGTTTTGTTTGCGAAAGAACTCATTCGCGACCGCTCAAACAAATAATTTTATATTATAAAAAAGATTCTTCCCGGGAATCAATTCGAATAATAGAATATGAGTCGCAAAGCATTAAAAAGTAGTGGACAGTTACTATTCAGACGATTTTTGGCAACGGAAAGTTCTATGCTGAGCGAAATGGGCAAGAAAAATTTGATCTACAATGATACAGATGGATATGTGATGAAATCACCTTACGGTTCAGTCTCAATTCCAAAATTGACAATCGACCAATACGTGTGGAAAAATATTTCCAAGTGGCCAAATCACACAGCAATCGAGTGCGGTTTTACGGGTCGCAAATACACATACGCCAAACTAAGGGATAATTGTTGTGCCTTGGCCTGCCGATTGAGAAACAACATGAAATTGGAGAAAAATGACATCGTTGGCATTTGTCTCCCAAACGTCCCAGGTAATATTCTCAAGCCCAATTTGGTGCTGTAAACATCACACATAATGACAAAAATGATGCCAAAGTAATAAATACGAAAATAAACAACAAGCTCAAGCTTGCTCATTGCTTATTGCTTATTGCTTATGTGAAGAATTCATTTTTGTGACATCATAAATTTGCATATAAACATCCGAAAACAAGCAGATAGCTTTCATAGACACAGCTAACAAGTTCAGGTTTCAAGTAAAAGTATATAACTTGTATCGTCACATAGTATAGATTCATTTTAACTGTGAAGTTTAACTGGGTGTTGCATTATATGAATGGTTTCGCAGATAAATGTATTCGCATTTGAGATATGAGCTTAAAGAGGTATTTCAGAAATTAATATCAACGAATTTATGAAGTTAATCACCATAATAATACCCAGACGGTTAAATAGAAGGAGGTCGAAAACATAAATTAAAACAACTATAGATTCAATTCAACAACAGTTGAAATGCAACGTCATGCTTACTTTTTCGCTTGAAGTACGCATTGGCTATATTCCAAGGCCACGACAGTGTGATTATATATCATGATTGAATGTTCATTCCAACAACATGAATCGTAAATGGAAGATATTCAGCAAATGATGCTCTAGCGGCATCTATACGGTAGAGTTTGGAAATTTGATTAAATGATTTCGTCACAAGGTTTACCCAAATATTGGAAATGGTATTTGTCAAAAATGGCATTTCAAACGTCCTTCATGATTCATGTTAGTGAACTTCCGATAGGGAAAAATAGAACTCTGAAAGGTTTTGGATCTGTTGAATATAATAACATTGTGCTTCACAGCGTTGGTTCATTCCTTCAAGTTTACACACTACATTACCCTCTTTTTCATTGCGCAAAATATATTTTACTCCAACAGAATATGCAATAGCGTTTTTGGGTTCCATTGAAGGCGGCTTAATCGTCACAACTGTCAATCCCGGCTACACAAGCGAAGAAATATCTCGTCAATTCATGAGCTGTCAACCAAAAGCCGTATTCTGTTTAATTGATAACTACGAGGTAGTGAAAAATGCTTGCATTCTCGCTCAGCTGCCGAATACCAAAATTATAGCTATAAAAATCGATTCAACCGCATCATTTCCGAATGGCGCTATCGATTTCAGTGAATTGACTAATTCATATGGTAAGTGAAAAATTAATTGATGAAAATGGATACATGAAGATAATCCGTGCATTGAAACTCAACTAACTTATATTTTAGGGATTAATTTATCTGAATCTTCGAATTTCAACAAACACGTTGCACACGATGATTTTATTTTGCTTCCATATTCTAGTGGAACAACTGGATTGCCAAAAGGTGTAATGTTGACACATAATAATCTGGTGGCGAATTGTGAATCAATTGATGTTGGATTGCCACACGATCCACTTGTGTTGCCGACAACCAATGACTTTCAAGATGTGCTCCCCTGTTTTTTGCCCTTTTTCCATATTTATGGATTGATGGCGATGCTTATACCAAAACTGGCGTTGGGTGCAAAAGTGATTTCAATTCCCAAATACGAGATAAATAGTTTTCTTCGTATTACAAAAGAGCAAAAAGCAACATTCTTACATCTCGTTCCACCTATTGTGATTCAGCTTGGCAATTATGAAGGTGCCAAAGCAGAGCACTTCGAAAGTGTTCGCGCATCGATGAGTGGAGCATCAAATTTGGCACAAGCCGACGTAGAGCGCTTGAAGAAAATGTATAGGTTTTTTAATTATTTTTATTTTAAATCTGTTTTTTTTTTCACTATAATGAAATAATTGAAATTTCAGTGCTCCAAACGTCACGTTTCTCCAAGGCTACGGTTTAACAGAAACATCACCGGTAGCATCATTAAGTCCACATGGCATTCATAACTATGCAACAATTGGATTCCCAGTTCCAAACGTTGAAATGAAAATTTCAGCCTTGAATGATCCAAGCTTTAAAGGAGTAGCACCAAATGAGACGGGTGAATTGTTAGTGCGGGGACCAAACGTCATGAAGGGCTACTACAAAAATGATGAAGCAACAAAATCGATGATTACCAAAGATAATTGGTTGAGAACCGGCGACATTGGGCATTATGACGAAAATGGTCTATTTTATATAAGTGATCGTTTGAAGGAGTTGATCAAAGTCAATGCAAATCAAGTGGCGCCGGCTGAATTGGAAGGTATTTTACGTGAACACGCAGATATATTAGACGCAGCCGTCATAGGAGTAAAGGATCCCAAATGCGGCGAAGTACCCAGAGCATTTGTTGTCCGACGGCCTGAATCAAATATCACGGAAAAAGACGTTCAACAATTCGTCGCGAAACAAGTGATCAAATACAAACAGTTGACTGGCGGTGTTCAGTTTGTCGATCAAATCCCAAAAACAGCAACTGGAAAAATATTACGTCGAGAAGTACGAAGAATTTTTTTATGATCAATGTGCTGATATTTCTTTGCTAGTTGAAATGTTCAGTATGTGTGCAATGAAGCGAATTCTGATTTAAGCCTAATATTAACACTACATATAAATGCCATGGATATATGACTAGATTACGTAAAAAATATGCTGTTGATTCATTTACTACATAAAGCATATGTCAATTTGCATTGTTGTTAGTTTTATTAGTATTGAAGAAGTGTCATTATGAGAACTGTAAAAAATGAATTCATATATATATATGTGTCAATTTAGTGTATACTCATTCCCAATTTGGTTAGGTGGCTAATAAATTGTTTATTCCATCAACAATAACAAGTTAACCTTTCATTAAAATGTTGTTATATGTATTGAATTGATGGTGTAAAAAATTAAAAGTAATGTATTCACTATTCAAACGTTGAGATGAACCTTTCGTGCTGAAACAGATGCGGACCTATTTTTTGAAATATGAAAGAGATTTTGTTGGTGATTAACAACGGTTTTGCTCGTACTAATGACTATTACTTGGGCAGCAGTTGATGTGAGGGATGAAAATTCATACTGTCTAAATTGAGTCAAAATCTCAGTCGTACTTTGTGAATAATTGTTATACTTGTATTGATATAAACATATGAATATGGATCTATAAGTGCACTAGTAAAACAAACCAGCATTTAACGCATTTGGCTAAAAACGATTCGTAATTTAGAATCTAATATAATAATTGATGAGAAAATACGGGGGAGTTTTTAGCAACACATTTATGCCAACATGGTTTTTGATGAAAAAAAGGATATGTGATTAGTTAGATTACTTTACAGATCACTCCCAGTTCCTAAACGTCTATCGACTTTCCATCGATGAGAAAATCGGTCAACAGGTGTGGAAAAATATTTCCAAGTGGTTAAATCACACTGATATTAAGTGTAGTGATACATATTGCCACATTGTTAATTCGTATGGGAAATATTCTAAAATTATAAAAGATTGATATCGTCGAAATCTTTCTTCCAAATGTACTGGATAGCTCCACGTTTTTAAGTTTGTTTTATAAGGAAATGATTACTTTGTAGGCACACGCTTGAGCGAGTGGAAACTCACTCACTCAACCATATGACTTTGCGGCATTGAGTGAGAATGTACTCATACGATACTGCTGCTCAATACAAAGGAGTAAATACGAGACTCACTCAGAGCGCTCGGAGCAGAACGGGATCACTGCACGCTTGATAAAAAAAATAAAAACAATATGTTCATAATGACGTTCATGTTTTTCTTTCAATAAATCTATACTTTTCGTTTCAAGGCTGCAATAATATCAATACTCACTGCTTGTATTCACAGTCTTGCTCTACACTTACATTTTAAATATTTTGATTCATCAGAAAATGTGATAGCGTTTCTGGGTTTCATTGAAGACGGTTTAATCGTTACAGCTGTCAATCTCGGCTACCAAAGGGAAGAGATATCGCGTCAGTTGATAAACTGTCGACCGAAAGCTATGTTTTGTCTAGATGATAATTTCAATGCAGTAAACAATGCTTGCGTACTCACTGGACAAAATTATAGTAATCAAAACGGAACCAAGCAATCCACTTCAAAATGATGCGATTCATTATGAGCAATTCATGAATACCGAAGGTAAACAAAAATTGAATATATAAATAGAAATTCGTTTTAGGGCTTATTCTTTCCGAATCTAGTGAATTTAATGAATATGCTACGTACGATGATTTTATTTTGCTTCTATACTCAATAAAAAAAACTACGCTACAAATATACCGTGTGTATTCCCTGCGCACGCTACGTTTATACCATTTTCACGCTTACGCTTATTTTTAGCGTGAACCGCATGCAAAGCATACGGATAGAATACTTTGACTTAGAGTATTCTATTTATTTTATTTTATATTGCTTTGCATGCGGTTCACGCTAAAAATAAGCGTAAGCGTGAAAATGGTATAAACGTAGCATGCGCAGGGAATACACGCGGTATATTTGTAGCGTAGTTTTTTTTATTGAGTATTTGTCTGGAAGCGCGAGATTGCCTAGAGACGTAATTTTGACACATAACATAACATGCGATATCGCATTGTATACCATTAAGCGTTGATTTTCCCTACGAAGCTCTGATATTGCCGACAATCAATGATTATAATATGATATTATAAATGATAAATCATAGAATGCACACGAATGATTGGTATTATAAAACTGCGTTTCCTCTAACTTCGATCAAATATTCTTTCCGCACAAAATCAACACGACGAATAGCACCCATGAAAATGTGCCGAAGACCAACAGTGTTTGTTATTCAATCAACTAAATCAAGAGTAACTGGAAAAAAACAAGTGATCAAATGAAAACCAGGGACTGACGGTGTTTTGTTCGTTAATTATATCCCAAAAATACACACTGGAAAGATTCTACGGCGAGAAAATCGAAAAATATTCTATTTTTATTGAGACTTTATGCAGTCGTATTTTTGTTTTTGTGTATCAAATAAACATGTTTGGCATTTCAATAAGCTCATCTTTTTTTAACCAGAACTCAGCTGACGTGTGAAGAATAGGAACAGTTACAACGTAATTCGATTTGATACGGAATCAAGCTATTATATTTTTAGAGCTCTGGTTCACATTTCGATGAAAACAGTCATTTGAAAAGAACTAGTTTGCCTCCGTCAACTATATAAGGTCGAATACAATTTATTAAAGCCAAAAACAACATCCACTTTTTGAGAACAAAATGAAATATCATTTCAATACTTAACTGCATTGACTGAGGTTGCACGCGTCTACAGTTATAGTATTGTAGGTTTCATTGTGCATATTTAATACAAAAATGCTTTTTCATATTCAATATAATTTGCATTTGTGTACCGTATCATGAGGGGTGGACCATCTTTTTCGGAGAATTGAATTAATCTGAAGGTAATTTGTAAAGATGTTCGTGATGTATTTGCGATTCTAATGCGCATGTTGTTTGATGAAAAATAGGAAGAAAGGCAAAGGATGTGAAATAATCAGAACAAAGTTAATGCTTCTAGGGAAAGGCTTAAAATAATTAGATAATGTGTCCATGTGAAACAAGGAAAGAAACTGAAATATCAACAGCAACCAAAGTGCTGATTTAATGATGTTTCTCAAGTACTGATACGCCCCTCGCTCGGTAATATATATCATTGCACTGATAGTGAAATCCAGTTTGTGCAGACTGTGTGCGAGTGCTGAAAACATTGAGCTGATGACAAGACAAGTATAACGTATTGTTTGTGTACGTCGTGATTGTAAAGTTTTAAATGATAAAAATATAAAATCAAAATTGTGTTATCATCAATTCATGCGATCATATGGTGTGTTGTAGACTTTTTGCTCGATTAGAAAGCAAAACAATCTGTAATCGTGCAGTTTATTTTGCGTGAGCTATCGGCTGGGAAGTGTTGCCGTACGGAAATTCTCAACTTTTATTCCAAAGATAAATATTAAAAAAAATTGTTTCTCAGTTGAAAATGTATTACGGGTCAGTATTAAGGGCAGTGAATATGAAGAGCAATGCACGGTTATTGTGTAGACGATTCCTGTCGACTGAAAGGGAATTTCTCGCAACGCAAAAGCCATCGTTAAGTGATTTGGCAAAGAAAAATTTAGTTCACAACGAAAAGGACGGATATGTGATGAAGTCTCCCTACGAAAACATTTCATTTCCCATGGATATGACGATTGATCAATATTTTTGGAAAAACATGCCAAAGTGGCAAAATCACGTTGCAGTACAGTGCGGTGTTACGGGTCGCAAATACACATACGCCAAACTACGGGATTATTGCGCGGCATTAGCGATTCGATTGAGAAACAACATGAAATTGGAGAAAAATGACATCGTCGGTATTTGCCTTCCGAATGTACCAGAGTATGTTATTTGCTGGATGGGATCAGCTGAGGCATCGTTAGTTGTCACAACAATAAATCCTTGGTACACGTGCGAAGAGATATCTCGACAATTGATAAGCAGCCGTCCGAAAGCAATATTTTGTCTAATCGATAATTTTGATGTGGTTAAAAAAGCCTGTGAGCTGGCTAAACAGCCTGACGTCAAAGTGATAGCTATAAAAACCGAATTAAGTCACTCATTTCGAGATGATATGATTAGCTTCACCGAACTGATGAACCCAAAAGGTAAATGTCATTTTTACTACTTGTTTATCGCCCGTTTATTCAAGTGCTGCTCCAACATGATTAAAATTCCGTTCTATTTACAATTTGTTAATTTAGTCATTATACTGACACAGTCAAAGCGTAGCAAATAGCATGCACTCACTTGCTAGTTCTATAGTTTGTTAATACATACATTGCGATTCCAGTTCTGGTGGCCTTGTGAAAGAAAGGCATGCACGAATGCGAAGTGAATAGCAATAATATTATAATAAATCGTTGTAATAACGAGAGTATCAACCTTTTGGAGAGTAGCTTCACTGGCTAAATTAATCTACAGCATATCGTACGGTATTATAAGGCATTGTTTCATGTGCTCATGTAAAATTGTACACAGTCAAAATACTTCACTAATTTTCCAATGCTTTCATTTGAATAAAATGAATATGCATGCACCATTATTCATTCACGCGAAGCAAATCATTTGCATTTATTTAATTTCAGCAAATAATTCGAGCTGCATTTTCGTTTCAGGTCTTAATTTATCAGAGTCCTCCAAATTCAACAAAGACACGGGCTACGATGATCTCACTGTGCTTCCCTATTCTAGTGGTACAACTGGATTACCCAAAGGTGTTATG